GAAGAAAGAATAGATGAAACAGTGTTCACATGCTCCAATCCCACTCAAACACACATTTTATTTTCCGTAGGGGGAAGAATATGACAAATATGTTTCTTTTTTTGGACAAACACATTTTAATTGACGTGGCTTTTTTTTTTTTTTTTTTTTTTTTTTTAATATTGAGAGTTAAAAAATAAGGAAATGATTTTTGGATAATCTTTTTATACCACATTTTAATGTAACTTGATGTAATATTAAAATGATTGCTTCTTTTAATTCATATGTGACTCAAGATATTAAATGTATCCACTTATTTAATGATATGTCAAAGTTGTATAAAAAAGTGGTATAAAAAAGTGGTATAAAAAAGTTGTCTCTATAGCACCACCTTAAAAAATACAACATTTTAAACAAAGGATTTTGCCACATCAGCCCTTAACTGAGAGGACTAAATTGATACCAAAAATTGAAGTTTGAGGATATTTTTAATACTTTTTAAAATTGAATCATAAATTTGGTTCAAAAATAAAAGTTGAGAGACAAATCAGGTATTTAACCAGTTGCAATGTTAACGCTTATCCTTTTTTTTTTTTTTTTTTTTTAAAGATAGAGTGTAAACACATACCTAATCCCACCGGAGCACTGTTTTCTTCCAAAACTAAGAATATGACAGATTTGTTTATTCTTTAGGTAGATACCAATTTTAATTCTCGTCTTTCACAATAAATATTAGATATTATTCTAATTTTAAATATTGTTCTAACTTTTTATTTAGATTGAAAATGGTCCCCAAGTCTTTCTAAATCACCAAACATAAACTTCAACCAAGTCCCTAAAACTTTGCGCGCAAAACCCATGAAGACTCATAAAATGGAAATATGCCGTCTTACCCCAAATCTCTAGAACTTTTTAGTAGGTTGATAAAATAGATTATATTTATTATTTAATAAATTAAAATCAATCTATACTTTGCTTTCCAAAGACCATAACCCTACGTTTTACAAATAATGCATGAATTTATCAAAAAAAGAAAAAAGAAAAAGGAAGAAAGAGTAGGAGGATACCATGTGTGTATACATATATATAAAATTAGTATTTATTTGATTTATTTTTTAAAAATATTAAAAATATATTAAATATGTAAATCAAATCCCTCTTAATTCTTCCTATTTAAATAGATAGAAATCAGTAAAGTGGAGAGGGTTTATCACCCTCCATGTCCCTCCATCTCCATTAATGAAGAAAAACAAACAGAGTGAGGGAGACATCTACGTCTCCCTCTTCTCCACTCTCCCTCCAAATCCACCAATCCAAACAGGGGCTAAGGTTACAAGAACATATTTCTGGTCCTCATTTTTCTGGGCCAAGGCTTGACCGTATTTTGATTAATTGGGTTATCGACGGGCAATGGCAATTTCACCCTCATCATTCGTTTCAATTTACAAGGGAAGAATTACACCAGCCTTAAGTCT